ATCAAGTCTTGTCAAAATAAATTGTTGATATATAGAGAATTATACTTATGACCACCTCATCATGAAAACAGCCCGCTCATATATACAATATGTTGACGAGCCAAATTTTGAAAGAAAGCTTGAAATGTTAGAAATAGATACACAATTTTTATTAAAGCAGCATGCTTCTCAAGGTGGGACAGTTTAAATTCATGCCATTTTTTGCAATAATAACCTATTTAAAAATTGAACTAAATTATAAAAAAAAAATTACGGGTACGACACTTGCTTCACAGATGAGGACCAAGGAGACCTCCCACAGCTCGTGGGATATACAAAGATCAATACTCATCTCCACATCCGTATCCACCACACGAGACAGAAAAAGCAACATAAAGCGACACAGAGAGAGAGAGAGAGAGGTCGGGACAGAAGACGAAGAGGGAGAAGGAGAAATTGAATTCCTCTATTAGTTGCAGCAAGTAGAGGAGAAGGCAAACGGTTCTTCAAGCCGAGCTACTCAGTCAATCACAACGAACAAGAAAATTAGAGCACAAGGAGCTCACAACAACATTTTTTACGTGCAAGTAGCTCTCATAAGCTCCAATCGAGGGAACCATGCCCTAATCGAGTGACAGAAGAAGGGGTACACCTTGCGATTTCAATAATGCTCGATCACAAGCTTTTAGAGATTTGGAAGTAGAAGAAGGGGTTTTGCTGCATGAGAAAAAGCTCAACTGAGTTTTTTGTGCTTCGTGCGCAGAATTTGGACAAGGAGGGAAGGAAAAAAGGGAGTTGCAAGTTAAGGTAAGAATTTTTTACAAAAAATAATTTTAAATAGTGTAAATTGAAATTTCATAAACCACATTTGAAAACTAATTAATCAATTATAATTTAATTAATTTTTTTTTACAGATGTTAGCGAGAAGGCTCAATCAAAATACAACAACAACAACAAAGCCTTAGTCCCACTGCATGGGGTCGGCTAAATGAATCCTTTTTCTCCATTGCGTCCTATTTAGTGTCATATTTTCATTTAGTTATAGTAAATTAAGATCATTTTTTATACAATAAGCTCAAGTCTTCCTAGGTCTGCCTCTGCCTTTCTTAGCACAAGTCAAATCTAAAATATCTACTCTCCTAATGGGATCATCAGATGGTCGACGTTTAATGTGTTGACCAAACCATCTAAGACGACTTTCTCTAATTTTGTCCGTCACAAGAGCTACACCAACCCTATCACGGATATATTCATTTTGCTCAATCGAAAAAAAAATTAAAATTCTATGGGAGATCAAATGAGCAAAAGAACTTTGCTATGGGGTAGAATTCAGGTACAAAGATTGATTTTAATATTTAAAAGCTATTTTCTTAATCGATTAGTGTTAATTTTAAGAATCCTAAACCCTAAGTCGAAAGCTTAACTAAGTTTCTCTAATTACAAACATAATACATGTATTTTAGGAAAGCCACTTAAATTAGTGATATAATTAACATATAAATGAAAAAGTCTAAGTATTTAGATTAGAATTCAAGTGAAAAAAAAAAACAAAACAGATGGAGGCTAATAAGGGCTAACTTGTTATTATAGATGCAACAGAGGCATAACTTGACCAAGGAAAACCAACTTGCTACAGACTAAATATGTGGGCAAATATGTTTGATTTTACAATAATTTTATTTAATTATGAAAGCATTTACACATGTTTATACTATATCCAACATTTCTTTTAAAATAAAAAAGTTTAGTTAGAATTAAAATTGATATTGCCAAAAAAAAATGTTTACATCATGCAGAATCTCAAATCTTGCTTTTCACTCGCTTCATCATAAATCTAAAATTACCAAATCAGGGGAGCGGACAATTTAGCTTAAATCTGCAAGTTACACAAACTATTCTCCTTGACACAATGGAAACATTGATGCATTCAAAAATGAGCACCAGTCATGGCTTCCTCGTTTATTCTCTATGGGTTCAAGATGCTCAGTATAATTGAAAGATGAAGTGACCAAGGCGGGGAGGAGCCACGGGAAGCATACACAACAACAAAGAAGTGGGAGCATGATCTTTTTTTTCATGTTGTCCAAATAGGAGACGTGACTAGAGCAATGCCTATCAACAATAAGATTTAAAGGTACAATGGGATACATGCAGATTTGGTTTTGATTTAATACTACTTTTTAAATTCAATTTAATTAATTTAAAAACTAATATGTAAAATGGCACAACTTCTAGTTTTTTGTCTCAAATTTTGTGATAAATTAAAAATTATGAATGCTTTTCTGAGGCAATATGGACATTTTTTCACACAAAAACACCGTTTCATAAAACGGGCAACGTCAAGTGTTGTCATCATGGACTATACATTTCAAACTGGTCTTACAACAACAACAACAACAACAAAAACAAAGCCTTAATCCCACTACGTGGGGTCGGCTACATGAATCCTTTTTCTCCAATGCGTCCTATTTAGTGTCATATTTTCATATATTTCTAATAAATTAAAATCTTTTTATATAATAAGCCCAAGTCTTCCTAGGTCTACCTCTGTTTTTTTAACATAAGTCGAATCTAAAACATCTACTCTACTAATCGAATCATTTGATGGTCTACGTTTAATGTGACCAAACCATCTAAGACGACTTTCTCTAATTTTTTCTGTCACAGAAGCTACACCAACCCAAACCACCTAATCATTCACATCTCGTCACATCTCGGCAACACTTAATGCTTCTCTTTTAAAGGCAAACATTCAGCGCTATAGAGCATTGCAGGTCTCACCACCGTCTTATAATTTTTTTCTTTCAGTCTAAACGGTACTTTCTATCACACAAAAGGCCAGAAGCATTCCTCCACTTCAACCAACTAACTTGAATTCTACTATTAACATTCCCATCTATATCACCATCGTTCAAATTTTTTTAATAATTTGATCACACAAAATTACACTTCTGTCACTAGAGCTACTACTACTAAAATTTCATTCAAGGTACTCAGTTTTTGTTCGACTCAAATGAAGGCTTTTAAACTCCAATGTAGACCTCCATAATTCAAGTTTTTCCTAGGTTTTGTCTCTCGCCTCATCCACGAGAAGGATATCATCAACAAAAAGCATACACCAACGTACATCCTTTTGTAAATTTCAAGTAAGACCTTCCACAACTAAAGCAAAAAGATATGGGCTTAAAGCCGATCTCTGATGTAATCCAACGAAAATAGGAAAAAAATTGGTCAAACCTCCTTCAGTTCGAACAGAAGTAACAGCTCTAGTATACATATCTTTAATGACTTGAATATAAGTCATATCAACACCTTTCTTCTCAAGAACTCTTCAAAGGATATCTCTTGGAACCTTATCGTAAGCATTTTCTAAATCAATAAAAATCAAATGTAGGTTCTCCTTATTCTCTGAACTTATCCATCAAACCTCTCAATAAATTTATAGCTACCATAGTAGACATGCCCGACATAAATCCAAATTGATTATGAGAAATCTTTGTAATACGTCTTAACCTATGTTCAATTACCCTCCCATAATTTTGAAGTATGACACATCAGCTTGAAGTATGACACATCAGCTTAAGACACATCAGCTTAATTTCTATATAATTTGCGCACTCTTGTGCATCCCCTAATTCTTAAAAATGGGAACCAAAATACTCTTCATCCAATCCTAAGAAATCTTTTTGTTTTTAAAATAATATTAAAGAGTTTAGTAAGCCAAGAAACTCCCAAATCTCCTAAATATTTCCACACTTCAATTGGGGACATCATCAGGTCCTAGACATCATCAGGTCCTACTCAGGTCCTACAAACTTTCCATACTTGGTTTTCTTTAAAGCCTCCTCAACTTCTTTTTTACTTATAAAACGGTAAAAATAAAAAGTATTATTATTATTAAAATATTAAAATCACTAAGGTCGATTGTATTTTCAGAAACTTCATTAAAAAATTTACAAAAAAAACCCACCCACCTATGCTAAATATCTTTTTCCAAGAAAAACATTCTGATTTTCATCTTTAATACACTTTACTTGAATTAAATCTTTACTTTTTCTTTTTTGTTTGTTTGGTTAGTTTATACATATATTTTTCATCCTCTTTAGTATCGAATCTAATATAAAGTCCATTAAATGCAAAATTTTTAGCATCACAGATTTTTCTTTTAGATTCCCTAGGAACTGTTTGATATTTTTCTCAGTTCTCTAAGATTTTACATTTAAACCAATTTTTATAGCATAACTTTTTATATTTGATCTTTTTTTGCACATTATTATTCCAACATCAACTATTTTTATTCATAGAAATTTTTTCTTTTGATTCTTCAAGTATATCTTTTGTTACTTGTTTAACAGTGTTTGTTACAAAAGGTCAAAACTGAAATTTTCTATTTTTATTGTATTTTATCATTTTAAGTATGGAACATTAATAGAGTCCAATAGTTAGTATAGCTGGGTCAGGTGCAATTGTCGAGGCATCTTATCTAGAAGGCAAAGAACGACCTAGCAGGCATTGATTTTGACAAAAGATGGCAGGGGCCTGTGAGCTGACTGAAGATTGTCAAGAACTGAAATGGAAGAACCTTGATTGCAGAATTTCCACATAATATAGTAGGAACAAGATGGAGAAAGAAGAATGAGAAAAAAAATTTTCACATGTAGGCATCGTTAGAAGAAAGAACTTCCTGATGTTCCGATTATACCGATAATCAATTCATTCGGGCCTCAACAATTAATATTGAGAATTAAAAAGAGGATAGATATAACAGACTTACAACATTAGGGAATATATTAATAAAAAAGAAGATTTCCAAGAATTTCTAATAAAGTTACTCCTAATTAACTTTTTCATGGAGCACAAAAACAATTGTTATAACAATTCTTTATTTTTTGGAACTCACGCAAATAAATGCAATGGTTTAAAAAGTAAACTTTGAGAGAACATTGTCCATAGAAGGTAAAAACGTTCCACTTTGTTTTCATTCACGTAAGTCTTACAAAACTAGAAGAACCATACTCACAATTGCAGCTCTAGCCACCAAAAGATAATCAAGTGACAACCAATACACCTGCAAAAAAACAAACAATCCATTGAATGTCAATAATGATTAAATGCTATTTTCTAGAAAAACACATGCTAAAAGGAGTTTAAGAAATCAGTTTTCATAAACTTAAAAAATATTCATATAATTTGAAAATTAAAACTAGGGCAATTATGTAGAAGAAAATTTTAAATTAATAAATTTTCACAAGTAACCATTAACTCGAATCCACAAGACACAATTCTAGATTCTTATAAGGCGTTGTTAGAATATCAAAAAGAAGAGAAGAGGGGGAGTTGCTAAATATTGGAAGAGGAAACAACTTCCAACAACTTTCTAGGGGGAAGACAGCAGGAACTGCAGCAAGGACAGCAAGAACAACAGTAAGTGGTGATGTTGGCAAGGCATCAGATGTCTATGGAGATCCACCACGACTTTTTGAGCTAGCCATAGAAACATCACTTGCACAAGGAAAATGATACGCTCCTCTAGCATTGAATCAAAAAAAAATTCTAAATTGCATAATCAAAGAAAAAATCCCCTAACAGAAAGAAAAAAATATATTAAATGTTCCGAAGAAAAAATAACCCTAATTCTATATCAACTAATCTAAACAATGGGTCCCACAAGGGCTGGCATCAGACAATAGAGGAAAATTTTGCAATGATTACAAAATATTAGATTCACCTCTTTATCCCATATGGCTGGCAAACCGATTTCTTGTCTTTACCATAACGATTATTAGAATGAAAAAAAAAAACAAACATAAATGTGTGGCATATAATATAAGGTTATCCCATGAAAACATAAAGTCTCATTCAAAATTACAAAGCTTCAAAAGGAAAAAGAAAAGAAACATTTGAAATCTATTAACACTATATCAATAATACCACAACCAACACATACCACACGCCACTGTCATCTCATCATCAACACCAACACATCACCACCATCGCATCATCTACACCAACACACCGCCACCACCACATATCATCAACACCACCACATCGTCATAAGCAATACACTACCAACATCACCTCCAACACAACACACAACCAACACCACACCAACAAACCTCCACCACCACACAATCAATATACTACCATCACCACTCCCATCTACCATACCAACAAGCTTGCCACGACTTAGCCCGGTGAGGTTGGAATTAACAAGGTGAGAACTGACAGTTGGACGGAGATTTTCTCTACACTCAACAAGTCCTCCGCCTCAATTGACTTGCTCTTAAGAATGGTGATGTTCTTGTGTCGTGAAATACCTTCAAATATTTAACCATTTGAGTTATTCCACTACCACTTGCCTGGGTCTGAGAACCCTAAATAAATTTTCACTACGGCCATCATCAAAGTAAACATCTCCATGAGAACGCTAGCACCACTGGATAGAGGATCAGTAAGTACTGAAGGCACCCGATTCTAATAATAAACAGCTTTCACATCTCTATCATTTCCATTTGTATTCTTCGAATCAAAATCAATTGTCCTGAGATAACAAAATTTGAAATTATTAACATAAACATTTAATTATCTTATTTTTAATTGTCCTAATAAATATTAATAATTTCTGTAATGGCTCTTTTCAGATCACTTCATTACTACTCTTAACAGAACTCTAATACCACACTTGTCACGACCCAACCTGGTGAGCTTGAAAATAGCAAGGTAGGAACTGACGATCGAACAGATGAGACATAACTAATAATTTCATTTCATCACAAAAAAATAAAAATCCAAAACAAAAGAGACATTCTAATTCATAAAACTTATTTTTACGATAGATTGTTCATATTTAAACATTTACATTCTGATAGAAAATAAACTAAACTAAAATATCTATCAGCAGGCGTTCCACGACACCAGTACACGTGCTCTCTGAGTCCATATAATCTACAACTGGTTGTAAAAAAATTATTAGTGACGATGATTTGAGTAAAAACTAGTCACTGGGTGAATTTTTCTAAATTACAATAATTTTCATTTTAAAATATTTTCATAAAAGAGCAATAAAAATAAATTATTCTGCAATAAAAAAAGCAGTAAAAAAAACTATTTCATTTCTTTCTTTTATTTAGGTTACACTTTTCATAATTGAGAGTAACCGTCCAAACGTATGCTTAATAAAAATATATGTTTAACATTTTCTAACCCACTATTATGGTAGGCAATCATTTTCATTTTGTGTACTGGTGAAATGCATCCTCCTGCTAGTATCATCCAGAGGTAACTCCTATATTCATTCATATATCATATTTTATTTATTTTTATAATATATTAAACATTTAAAAAAAACTTACATTTAACATTTAAAGGAAACATGGACTTTTGCATTAAAAAAAAAAGCTAAAAAATCAATAAAACTAGTGTTAAGTAAGAACATATTACCCACGTCATCTATGTCGGCTGTTAACCTTTTTTCCTCAGTCAGTTTGGTCCTTGGATGCACCTATAACAATATATATTAAGCATACCTAATTTTTAATAATACATCATATTTATTTAATTTGAATCAATTTTTGACCCTCTTTTCATCAATTCTAACATAACTAATTAGATATTTTCATTTACTCTTTTTATCTAATTAAATTATAAGTTATTGTTAATTAATAAATATTTTTCTAAATTACTCTTAATCATAACACTAACAATTTAGAATTTAAGTAAATACATTCTAAGAAAATTAATAAGACTTCTTAAATCTTGTTTTGTAATTTAACACAGATTAATGAGCAAAATAATTAAATGTAAAATTTAGAGTTTATACTTGAAATTCTCCTCTTTGCCTTAGCTTCTTCATCAGAACCCAAAAATTATTAACAACAATAAATCATATTAACTTGTAGAATTTTATGAAATTTAATTTCGATTAAATTCAATTAATAACTTAACATCGATTAATATCTTACCTTATTAACCCTCTTCCTTGACATAATATTTCAACCTGAGCCTCGCCAGGTTGAAATCTCCCACAAGCGAAGCACCCGCGAGTCTTTCCTCCTCCCCAAGCTCTCGTTCGAGCCTCAAACAACCGCCATGCCCATGCTTCTCCTCCTCCTTCGTTTGCGAGCCACACAAGTTAGATAGCCCACCTCCTTCCTCTGTGAGTTGCATGACAAAGAGAAATTGTCGTCTCCTTCCTCTTCCCACTCTCAATCAAGCTTCCTACAAACCGCAAGAGCTCTCCTTTCACTTCTTTGCTTGGTTTGGACACGAATGCCTCTCCCTCCCTCTTCTTTGCTCGGGTGGGGTTGTTCAAGCTCCTCCAACCTATCTACCTTGATAAGACCGCCCGAGCGAGCCTTCTTCCATTCAATTTGATCATAATCAGTGGAGGAAAAAGATCGTAGCATGGGACCTGCTCATCTCCTCTACCTCACTCTGTCGCATTCACTTTCCCCGTCTCTCTTGCACTCTCTGTCACTCTTTGTTTGCGTGAGTTCGAACGAGGTAAGACCAGGAATACACCTCGTCTAAATGCTCCCATGAGCGGTGTGGGCCTCGCTTGAACGACACCTGCACAGCAAGTATTGTTAGCTATGATATTTTTTTTATTCAGATAATTTCTGTTATTGATATTCTTATTATTGCAAAACTACCACCACTAAACCATCAACACACCACCACTCCCATCTACCACACAAACAAACCACCACCAACATACCATCAACAAACCACAACACATAACACCTACACACACCATGCACTACTTAAATCATGAACCAAGAAGCATGATCCTATAAAAAGACAAAATGTAGCAACCTTATATCCATTTCACTCAAATAAACTTATGTAAAATATTAAAGAATCCTCTTTGCTTAACGACAAAAAGCAAATTTCTCAGAAGCAATATCAAGTCAAAGAAACACTATGCAAGAATCCTCACAATGCAACATGAGATAATGAAGCATTGTCAAAGAATTACTTTTTTTTTTGAATGCCCAAAAAAACTAATATATTAACTAGAAAGAAAGATACAGATACAATGTGATTGAAGGCCCAAACATGACACCCTGCTCACAAAAAAACCTAAGGGGTTCAACAACTAGAAAATACTAAAAAGTACATTAGAGACATAAAGAAAAAGCCTAAAAATGCAGAAATACAAAGTATCAGGTAGCTAGAGAGCAACCCAATTTGTTTTTGTCTCTATCTCTGGTTCTAGGAAAGGAGCAAGCTAATAAGTTGGTAAGATGACTGTCATTGCCATTGCCAGTAGTAACCAATTCCAATATGTTCCCGAGCTGGAATCGGCCTCCATTCTTCTTCTTCCTCCTGGAATAGACCTGTCATTCCTCTTCCGAAGATTGACTCACTTGATCTTAGTCTAAAGTGTGCTGGGGATGTGCAAATTGTTGGACATTAGGAGCAACTACTTGTTGTACCAACTGATCTGTTATTGCATCAAAGGAGCACTCTCGTGTGTCTTGGCATGTGAGTGAGTCTTCAATAACAATGGGTGGTATGAGCACAATTGGATCTGTAGCTATAGTATGTTCTTCAGGAACTGCGGTGTTGGGAAGAGGATCGGGTTGCATCTTCTCAACATGAATAGTAGGTGGTTGTTCTCTAGCGATATTCGGTCTTAGATGACAATACAAACAATAGCAAATAGTAGAGTTGTGGCCAAACATACTACAATGAGAGCAATAAGAAGGATGTAGTTCCATTTCAACATTTTGCCAATACCCGTTGTGCATAATGTCAATCCATATGTTATCCGGAGTTGGTCGAGTGATATCTCTCTCAACTAACACACAAGCCACGGATGGTCTAGGGACAGCAAACGTAGGACAATCCACCTTGAGAGGCTTACCGTAAGCAGATGCTAAAGAGTAGAGGATTTCAATGTTGAACAGATGTGATTTTAACCCCAGAAACTTTATCCAAACAGGAATGATAGAAGGCTCCACTTTTGGATCAAAACCGACAGTCCACATCAGAATTTTCATAAAACGATTGTCAATCTTGATAGTTTTTTGAGAGAAAATGCGAGTGTAATCGGCATCATGAGAT